AAAAATATGGTATAACAAGCGGCAAATATTCGATACCAATAAATGGCTACTTCATCACCGGTCCTAAAAAGAGAATGAGACAAGTGAAATGTCCCAATATTTTCAACGGTTTAGCAAAATACCAGAGTAGAATTTCCTTATGAGCACATGGTTCCAACCACGACAACCCATTAATTCTAAATACTTCATTTATTACTATTCAGTTCAACCATTTTCACCCGCTTCTCAGATTCAAAATATTCTGAGCTAATGCTTGTCTTAAAAATTATCCATGCCTCCTTTTACGTTTGTTTGACCATAATTTCTTCTGCGCTTCTTTACACATAATCTTCCGAAAACCGACGTCCCAATGTGTAACAGTGCGGAGGAAACGTTTTATTTTCGGACGTCTAAGAATCATGTCAGACACAAAACATCTTGCAGAAACTTTTGCCAGCTAAAATAATATACATGGATCAACAGAAGTGTAAATTTTATCGCAAAGAATTAAATCCAGTATCCAGAACCCCTTACAACTCGAGTATGTTTTTACACACAAGTGGTTCACCGTTCCCACAGGGCCATTTATATTCATATTCATTTGAGAAATTCTTACCATCAGACTATTTGGTCTACACGTATAAATTGGTTGTAAGTCAAGGTGCCAAGTGAGCAAGATTGCGTTTTAACGTTAAATATTGCTAATGACTTTCATGTATTATCTGTCCCAAATGGCCTACAAAGTTTGAAACAAAACGAACAAGCTGAGAGCACCTCTTTCTTAGATAATACGTTACCATTTTGGAGCCTGTGCTTGGTATTTGACTCTTCATTCGCTGTCGCATACATCAGAGCTGGTAGGGTGGCTGGACTCCAAACGATTTGTTGTGACAGGTATTAGTGTAGATAATTGAACCATTGCCAGTTACAGTCACAAATTTGGTTGACAGCTCCCCAATGAACAAACGTGTCACACCACCACGTTCCTCGTATCTGAAGAATCATAGGATATATGTGTTAGCGGGACATGCTCAATGCAAGACTGCTATGGTGCACGATGACTGGATATGAATTAGCCAAAAAGCGCTAGTCGATACTTGGAGAACACCCCAGAATATTCTCACGTAAAGTTTTTCTCATCGTACTTTTTACTTCCATCTAACTTTGTTATTTGGAATGTAATCTCTTTCCTGTTTAACGGTGTCCTGATTTAGGAACTTTTCGAGTGAATCGGTGTCCAAGATTACTAAGCAATAGGAATAGCTGGGTTGTAATACGAGAGAATTATAACAACATGTAATTCCAACCTCCGTTTACTCACGCTCGAACTTAAGGAAAATGGGATAAACAACTGAGCTACATAATCCGAATAGTGTATCCATTATACCGAGCAAAACTCAACAGTCCACCAACCAACTTGTCCCAGCTCAATATTTTCATAGAAATCTCTTAGTATCAGCCAGACGAAAACGTACAAGAAGCTGCCAGTCCTAGCTATGGAACCTAGACGATGGCTTCTATACGAGCTCTCTCCGACTTATCGGCTAAGTAGCCTTTTCCATAACAAGACTCAATTTGTCGTGCACAAAGCTCCACCTCACGTTTGACGGCCTCATGAACAAGTTACGTGTTTTTGATGTTCGTGCAATTTTTTCGAACCTCTGTTACCAGATTTTTCCCTTGAAATTTGATTGGCACTGAAAAGTTTCAGCCCGTATGACACTTGCAACTGCAGTAATGCACCTTCTAACTGAGTAGTCAAACTAAGTACCATCGGGTATGTTATCACTAGATAATACCATGTTCACTTCTCCAGTAAAACTGGGAAAGTCTGCTGAGTCATGGAAAGATCCTTGGGAATATACCTCGGAAACTCAAGTGCTGTTCCATTTTGACAATCTGGGGTAGTTTGCTTATCCCCTATATCGCCTTTATCAGGCATAATAGTAAGCAGACCATCAGTGTTATTAATCAACATTCATATTAAACCGAACGCCCACATCCATTTGCGAATCCAGACATTGTAACCTAAGAGCCAATTTACAGCATTCAACGTCCCGTAAAATCACTGTCTCTCCTCATAGAAGAATAAGGCCAACAGAAAATGAAATTGACTAAAAAACCAGACCATTTGTAAAGTTTAAACTGCAATCAATCAACAAATTGATTTCCAGAGATGTCGCGAGTAAGTTAGAAATGGTCAATTTACAAGATACGTAAGAAGATACCAATACAATCAAATTACATGACACGGAACTTATCATAAAAGACCCAAGCAAGGATGTTTGAATGAAGCCTGAATCAGTAGTACAGAACCTCTGAAAATGTTCAGCAGTTAATTATAGCAGCAAAAAGACTTTACCCTGTGAAGCATCTCCTCATTCTCTGGGAACACAAAAGACCCGAAAACAACAAACAAATAAACTTCAGCAAGACCAATGAAGACAAATAAATGAACGCGTCGGTCTGGCAAGCGCCAACTTGTCTTCCTACATACTTTTTCTGCCTTTTGGAATAAGCTACCAGCCAGAATTTGGGAAAAATTCGATAGAAATCACTAAGTAGACATCTAAACCATTCTAAGGAAATGGATGAGCTGACAATATACTCAAAGTCTAGCGCTTTTAGTAATATACTTGGCACTCTCAAGGTGGTAAATAACTCGATAAACTCTAAAGCATTAATATAAGGCTACTAGTCATCTCCTAAAATGCTGGTTAATATTGTACTTGTATTATTTACAATACTCAACTTAGATCGTTGGTTTACAGGCTAGATAAATAAACAAATACACACCAAATTATTATTCACAAACAGCTTATGGGTATATAAGTGTCATTAATAAACTGTTTTTGGCCTCTTCAGAAATGCAGTAATAAGTTACAATAATGTTAGCATAATATTTGCCATATTTAAAAAAGGTTCTTTGTAACTGAGAGGAGCATTGAGTTGACTTCAAAGAAGGAAAGCGAGAAAATAAGCTAATAAAGACTAAAGAAACGCGAAATACGTAAGTAGTTTAATAAGCGTGTTTGTGAACACGGAATATGAGTAAATGATTATGCATATATCACCAGATGAATATAAAGAGAAAAAATGAAAAAAATTAATAAGGAAATAAACCATTATTGCAGTGAGGTTTGACTGCCGAATAAGTGTTTGTGCAGTAACAGTTTAGAGTGGTGCTATAAACGTTTCAGTTAACTGCGAAGGATAATTAAATGTCAGTATGTATGAGTCATGATGAATCTGAAAGTTAGTTTATTTAAGTGTGACACAAGATATTGTCTTAATTGGAAACTTCGGACGCTTAAGGATAACATTTGTTGAGAAGATAGGTGACAGACCTTGATAGTCTACAAGCTGGATTGTGTCAGCCTTCTGAGATTGGTTGAAGTTTTGGAAGCTACTCATTATCTAAACACCAAGCATTACCCTGTTTGAACTTCATAATTACTACGACCGCTAAGTTATCGTACCTATTTTTTCCTTGAGAAGCTTCACATATAACAGTATCAGCCATACTCGACACTATTTCAATAGATGCGGCAAAAATATTTCTGTTGAAATGAAGCGGATCGAAACCTAAGAATTCAATTCTCGAACTGTCTTTGTCAGTTTTTAATACATATCGTGATACAACACACAAAATACGTACCGAAATCTTAATACTCCATCATATGCCTTCCTTCATACTTCCAAAACAGGTCTCTTTACTAGAAGCCTGTCACAGCAGTTATCTGAAAACTAGTAAAACGACGCCAAGATATATACTAAAAACTGTGATTTCAACCGTAAAACAGCACTTTATCTTTCTCATATCATTTTAAGCCATCAGTTTTTCGTTGTAAAGGCGCACATACGTCGTTCACTCTTTCTATCCCAGGTTTACTTCCATTTATTGTATTTTTTATGCATCAACAACTGTTATTTTGTTTCTATAGAAAAACATACATTATACCTAAATTAAATAATCCAGTTTACTGCCGTAAATTCTGTAACATTTCTGTCAATTTGGTTTCGTTCATGAATTGGCATGCCTCACTTAGCTTATTATTATTTGAAAATAAATGGTGATTGTCATCACACCAATCTTTTATCCAGTGAAATAAATCAAGGGAACCGATACGGAAGCTACATTTACAATTTCAAACCCAATAATTACCACTTTAAAATCTGAGTGTCTGAAAATACAAACTTATCAGGATCTCGTTTTTATGATAGTCTTTGTCAATTAATTGGGATGTCGTTTGTTATGAAATTTTCAAAACAACAACTCGTGCCCAAAAGTTTGATTAATCTCACGCTCACTGTTGGTTCACCACTGAAAATAATAATTTGTGCCATAGAAAAAACATACAGGAAAGGAACCATTGAAGCAGTACTGTCCAGGAAAATGAACCCAGTTGAAGAAGAATACTTGACTCCTTGTATAGATGCAAAATCAAACCAATGATAGCACCCTCATAAACACCTTTAAGTTAGACTCCAAAGGATATTAGTGATATAAAGCGCTTCCTTGGACGATTGTGTGATCCCTGCCCTTACACAAGCTTCCCGTAAAACAGTAAAACCAAAAGTCGATAATCAAGGGTTGGGACGATGTATTTGAGTAGTGATTGATGCTTTGAATCGCGTTCGCTATATGCCGTGAAAAAGCAAAGTACGGTTTACCCAATCGCCATTTGATACAAGTGATTGACCGAGAGCCTTCAGCATGTGGTGTGTTCAGTAGGGCTAGTGTCGAAGATCTACTAAACTAGTTCTTCTGGAGAGTTGCTAACGCCACACCGCCAATCTAGCCTACGTCTTAATTTTAAATTAAACTTAAAAGTGCTGATAACTTTTGAAGCCTAGTCACAGTTTTTCAAATCTTTACATAATGAACACCAAAATTCGTACTCTTAAGCCGTTGTTGATGACGCATAAGTATGGCAGTGCTACTTCTTCCATTTTGAACTTCTTAGTATCACAATAAAGCAAAAGTAATTGGTATATAACATTGAAACCGTATGTTCGGTCTTGGATCTTGTTTGTTTGGACTATAATTGGGAGGCGTTTTTGGTTAGTTCTCTGAAGATGGCTACTGTTCTCCCGAAGTTTTCTGATTTGTATAGTTTGAAAGAAGAAGTAGGGCGGTAAGTCTCGAAATAAATTTAGTTAGTTTATCTTACTTAATGTCCGTTGATCACATTATAACGATAAGTTTTTCTGTATTCACAGTGGGGCATTCTCAATTGTTCGAAAATGCATTCAGCTCTCAACAGGTTTAGAATTTGCCGCTAAGATCATAAATACAAAACGTCTGTCAACCAGAGGTAGGTTTTTGATTGTTGGGTTTGAATTGGTTTCCTCGGACTTTTCATGAACTATAAAATTTGTTAGTTTATTCCCTCAGGATTTACTGATTCCATTGTTTATATCCAATGTTCAGTATAGTGACTACCTTAATGGGACGAAAAATATTTGGATTAGGGGTGCGTGCGATTATGCTCGTATATATCTAAGTCAAGCGCTTGCATCTCTACCCCTTTAGCTCTGCAATCCATAATATAAGCTATAATCGACTTCTCAGAATGCTTAGGAATACAAATCATTTACAGTAAATGCCCGAAACTTGTGTTCTAAGTAGTCCCACGACTCTTATCTTGAATGACAGTTAATTTAGGTCTTTCCTGTCCTTGCTATGTGATGTTCGGTTTTGCCCATGCTGCACCAACCAATTTTCATAGTGACTCTAAGTACTACCAGTCGGTGGGCTAGATGCAACGTGAAACCAGGCACATGAGTACGTTATTCCGACTTGTCATACTCGGTTATCATAGGAAGATGAAATAGGGTGAATCCCTAGAATGGTAAGGGTAATGATTACTGGTGGAGACAAAAAAGACTAGGCATCTAAGATACGATTTTGGAAAATATGAATCAGTAAAAGAGGAATTTCTAGGAGGTTCGGGAACTTCAGATCTAAGTTGTAACGCATTTTGTTACATCGGCTTCAATGTCTGGTATGGATAAATGATCTTAGTTTAGGTTGTCAGACAGTAAATCGCTTGACACATATAAGCCATCCTGACCCTAACGTTAATTCCTCTAAATATCATTATTTTTCTTCTAGAGACTACCGAAATACTAGCCTATTTGCCAAGAACTCCATCTCATAGTTGTCAACTTTTTGCTTAAATTCATGTTGAGGATGAACCTATTAATGTGACTTAAGATCATACACACTTTTAACCTAGGTTATTTGACCAATGACGCAAAATACTCATCCAAGTGGCTTGGCGTTTTGCAAGCGTAATTTTTGTGTACCTAATTTCAACAAATTATATGTTTTCATAAGCATCCTACGTACTTGTTTTAACATACAAATAACCTACAGCAACATCTTGTTTGCAGACATGCAGAAGTTGGAACGCGAGGCCAGAATATGCAGGCTCCTGAAGCACCCTAACATAGGTAAGTGTTACCTATCTTTTGCTTAAAAGCTATGTTGGCTTCTCAAAAATGTCACCTAGAGTAAGCGTGTTTGCATGTTCTCTAACATTTTAAGAAATAATAGTTTTATAGGGTTCCATCAAAACCGGTCGTTTCGATCGAAGTCTTCTAGTCCGATATTCTCATTTTACAGCTTGTTATACTAGTTCACTATTTGAATGTATTCCTTAGATAAATCCAGTACTTCTGTCCGTCCTTTCAGTGTTTGAGTACGCGAAGTTCGGCACCCGAGCAGTATCATAGCCCGCACAAAAATCAATGGAATTGTGTGGCGCATATGTATTCGGTGCCCCTTTGTAACAATAATTATCTGTTCAAATAAATAAGTATGCAAACAATTTGTGAAACAAAATGTGTTGTGCTTCTACTTTTACTTCTATGTCCTTCAAATAAGTCAAATACTTATTGATGGACCAAGTTCTCGTCCAATATCTCAGATTCGTAATTGCTTCCTGAAATTATGGTTATGATGGTTTTCCACGAAGTTTGTGTAAGTCAAAAATCTATGACTCATTAATATCAATGAAGTATGAAGTATAGAAGCGTCACTATCACTAAAACTTTCCAAACTACTAATTTGTCTTTGAACTCAGTACGAAAAGACAATAACACTGCTTACGATCGTCGTGCTTTCTTAAACATGTTATCACATGACCAAGCATCTTACTAGCTGTTGAAATAAAACAGGATCAAGAAATATAATCTAGCTACAGTAGTCAATCTATCCGAACCGTTCCATATTATCGTCTAAAGTAATCTGTCACTGACCTATTTTAAGTAAATGAAATCTAGAAAAAGCTCAACCACAGACATGCATTTTTTAGAAGGCTAGAAACAAAGGGATTTTCAAGTCAAATGTTCATTAGGGTCTTATTGTTCAGCCTATCTTCCTCTTTATAGTACTACAAATAATCATTGCTCACTGGGGATTTTCTAATCAGCACTTCAAGTCGTAGCTTTTGGGAGTTTGAGTGGTCTTAGTTAATTGGATACCAAATAGTTCAGTGGCTGACAAACTAGGAGCTGGTCCTAACGTGTTATCTCAGTTCACGCTATCAATCCAAGAAAGTTCAACAGGTTGAGGCAAGATATGGAAATAAGTGTGCTAACAACGGTCGTAAAATAAGGAAGTAAAGTACATAAAAGACAAGTTGTTCAAGACAAAAAAGGCAGAGATATGTTGTAGATCTCTTTACCACCGTAATCAGCTTCAAATCATACCATCTAGTTTCGAGCCACCTATAACGATCGTTTCTTGAACTATAACAAAGAAGGCTACATCCACCTGTACACCGCAGGTTTAGGAGAAATATATCTATGATCTAATTCCATGTTTTGAGTTGGTCACGTTAACCTCTTCTAGCATACCCTCTAGTCGACTTGGTTAAGGTAGGTCGTGATTAGGTCTACGTCACACGTCCTAATTGTTGAAGGTTCACAGCTTTATCACTCGACCTACATCACTTGTGCAAAACACTACACCTAGCATCAACATCATTTACTTGATAGCTCCAACACACATAAAAAAATGCTCCGAAAATACTTCTAGAATGTCATTCGTTTTCGGTAACCATTTAATAGTCCTAAGATGATGTTTAATGGACTCAAGTTCCAGATTCGCTCTTTTGTATATACCCACGTATCGCACCACTATCGATTGGTTCAATCAAAAAAACTCAACCGAGTGATTTTAATCCTTAGGGAGACTTGTCAGTCACTGACTCCTCAGAACTACTGGCAAATAATCAGTTCACCCGACTACGTATATGGTCAACCTGTGAACGATGTCAGTATTATATAAGAAAGAGGGGGTACTGACAGCAAGTAACCATCATTCTCGGTTGGATGGAATAGCATTTCAGACTCTATCACTTCTAAATTACCGAATGACGAGTGCATTACTCAACTTCATTATTGGCATTTGTAGTTTAGAACGCTCAATGTCGAAGGATAAATATATGTAACTCATTCTCAAAGTATGACTTTTAGCCATACGTTTTGTGTAGGAGCTATTGATGCTAAATTGCTTCCTAAAGTGAGACAGGCAAAGTTCTAGTCTAAAGCTGCAAGTTATTGGTTGAAATTAACATGGTTTTACCACAAAGCCACATCCCTATTTATCATGTGTGTACGTGTACTTCCTATCTACCTCTTGGGTTGGTATTTTATAATCATTCTTCATTTTTTTAGTTCGCCTATACGATGACATTCAGGACGAAGGGTTTCACTACCTCGTATTTGATTTGTGAGTTTTGTATCTTCAAATTGGTTACTATTATTAAATGTGATCAGAAAAACAAGTGATTTTTATGTTTTTATATATATATATATATGCATCAAGAAGACATGTTGAGCATCTGATTTCCTGCTACCTTGACGCATAACGTGAAGGTATGGAAGAACGACTTTTGTGTTTACAAGATGTAGCTGCCCATGGATTCTCTGTTTTAGTTCCTTTATTTGAGTTTTCGGAATTCTCAGTTTGACGTTCTTTAGCGTAACAATCCTCACAGACACTTAATCAGTGACAACCCAATTCATGTTGACAATAATTTTCATTTGATTAACAGTAAACAGCTGCCCCCCCCCAAGTTCATTACGCAATAAGGATTAGAGTAAGTTTGGAGTCACGAGTGATCATGGATCCAACCATTTTGGCGAGTGGATTGATATAGCTTCCAAGAAGTAACTAATATTTGCTGTATCTCCTCACAAAGGAAATCGGTAGTGATCTTGTTGTAACAAATAGACTACTATTACTAACATCTCATGTGTCGCATGTTATTATTCGAAATGTAGCGCACGTATGTATACAGGATATCTTCTGAGTTAGCTTAGAATCAGTGACGTTCGTAAAGTCAGTGCACTATGTTTGTTCCTTTCGATGGAAGTGACATCCTGACAGCTAACTCTTAGTTGAAGTTTGCCCATGTCATAGTGGAAAGAGTGAAAAATTAGGGATCTTGTGTTTGGATAATAATTGTTGTTTGTGGCATTCGTGCTCCGTTAATAGACTAACACCAGACTTGTTATCCATATGTAACGCCCACACAGTTAAACTCATACAATAATCATTCGTACTTATCACTTCTCCGCACATAAAGACAAACGGTAGATGCATTCAAAGTAGCCAGACCTATGTCAGTTTTTTTTGTATAGACTAAAGCTGGCAGAGTAATGAAATCACAAGGATATCCAAAACGTGGTCTCTATATATTTGCTGTCTCAGGAATAATTTCGCAGCATGGATAAGAATTAATTAAAAATGAAAAAGTGCATTTACTAATTATTACTGAGTGCCAAATTGTATCTTATGTTCTCATTTATCACAATTCTTGTGTACCGATCCTAGCGGACGTGTTTTGATCCCACATTTATTACCGGATTTCTCAACGTATTATCATAAATACTCCAATCTCCCACTTCCACGCTCATATTTCACACCTGTGTTCTGTATATAGTTTATTTACTGAGTGAGCCAATGCAGTGAATTCTTACGTTTTAAATTATTTCAAAGCTAAAAATTCACTGTTTGAAACTGGATGAATTGTATTCCCTTCATATATTTTTGTGTGTCGCTGCAGTTCAATAATCAAGTACTTTTTCGTCTACTAAGCTTTAAGATTTTGTTCGCGTATGTGAGAAAGCCAGTGATCTCATCCGACTGCTCAAACCGGTGTAGACAAGACAAGGCTCAGACTCACGACCTAGGAGTTGACTGCTGGCACTACTAATCAAATTTACACTATAATGATAACCCTATTAATATTCTAAATTATATGTTGTTTTCATCATATGATTGTATTAAAATTAATCTTTTTAGGGTAACTGGTGGTGAACTCTTCGAGGATATTGTTGCTCGAGAATTCTACAGTGAAGCGGATGCTAGGTTAGTCTCTTTAGTGTTTACTGAGATGAATACGTAGTGAAGTTAGAGGTATCTTTTTGTATATGTTATTCTCCTTAACTGTTTTTGTTTCCCATACCATTACTGTTGGTTTACTAGATTGATTCAAATGTAGGCATAAGACCGTAGTTTATAAATTTCATTTAGCTTCTGTTGACTTTGTTATCGTTATTATTACCGTAATTTTAAATCTTGCGAATAACCAAGACTCGCTTTCTTATTTTTCCTCCAGTAACTGTATGCAGCAAATTATTGAAAGTGTGAATTATTGTCATCAGAATAATATTGTACATCGAGATTTGAAGGTTAGTAGTAACGTTTTCGCAGTGTATCACTGTACTCAGCATTCATTATCATTAGTCACGCGTGTTCCACATTTACTTGGATTTTGGATCTTATGTTACGTGTTGTGGACATCGATATTCTTAAAAGCATTCATTCCCTTTGACTCAATAAACTTTTACTTGATCTCTAAATTGCCCATCAAAAGTTTTAGTGTGTTATTTTATGGTGGTGTCTATACTTATTTTTTGTCATAATTTTTTATCTTAAATGATTATAATTACATTTTATCATGTTTTATGTGAAATTTTATGATGAATATTTTCCTAATCACACTATTCAGTCACAATTTTACTACCCGGTCCTAACAAAATATATATTGCCCAAAAGTCTCTAAGATACATGTTTTGCTAATCTTTTGTTCGCAGGATGACAGCAGATAATTTTGTTATTACGTTTTTGTTCTATATTCTGAGTAGCATATATATATATATATATATATATTAATATTTACTTGGTAGATAAACTCAAACATATCTTATTCGAAATCCCAAGTAATCTGTCAAAGGGTTTTCGGTGAGAATAAATTTTATGGACGACTTTTGAATGATTCTAAATTGACCTTGAGAATGTCCACCTACTAGAAATAAATGATGATTATAAAGCAGTGTGAAAATTAGAATTATGATTTACAGTGGATAGTTAGGGTTAGGAATTCGATTTACGGTTTTCATCACGAACTGACATCAGCTAACATGCCAAAATGCTATTTAATCGAATAGATGAATGGAGTTCGCGCCAAAACCCAATACTTGTTATCTTACATTTGATTGGTGCGTTCATAAATGATAATCTCGCCGGATTTTCGGTTTCGTTTACATTACTTTCTAATCATTTATTCTTTGTGTTATGAGTGCAGTGAAACATCTACCTGATATCCCTCCCCCACGTCACAATCCTAACAAATTATGATATCTGTATCACTATTATCATCCTCTAATTTATATGCATATATTTAAGAGACTCACTAGGTACAAAAAACGATTTCTATGTGTGTAATTATTGTGTATGTGATTAATGCTCTTGAGTTTAACTGACTTAAATAATAAACAAAGCAATACACGGACAACAGCATTTAGTGGAATGAAGATAAGAGAACATGAAGAGGTTTTACTCTGTTGTCCACGTCGTTAGAACGTTTTAATGGACTCTGTGGATAATGTAAAAGTAACCTTCAAAACACCTTGCCTTGTAACCAAGTTCATTTTTTTATAGTAGAAAGACCTTTTAGCACGTATGTAACAATATCAACAGGTTCCACTAAAAACGTTTATTAGATTTGTTGCAACTGATAGCAGTAAATCATTGTTAAGTAATCTTTGAGCTGTCCTGTACTTAACAAACACATGTGGGTTTTTCATAAAATTGAATTTGTTTTACAGCCAGAAAATTTGTTGCTTGCTAGTAAATCCAAGGGGGCTGCAGTGAAACTAGCGGATTTCGGTCTGGCGATAGAAGTTCAGGGTGATCAACCAGCTTGGTTTGGTACGTTTTTCCTAAACACATACATTTGTTAAATTTTTCAACCAATATGCTTATGTATTTCATTACAAAAAGACATATTTTTCCCTCATTTCACGCAAATACTTTAACAGTAACCAAATTTCAATTCATATTTTTAAAATTAATGTTTAGTAAGAGAACTGATTATCCAACTCAAGTGATTGAATAAACGGTACTTATTTCATTCTTCAAGTGGATGGAGACATATCAATGCTGCAGATAGTATTGTTATGATTAATTTTATCCATGCCTTACAGTAAACTGAGTCGGTTTGTCGTTTCTGTTTAGTATGTTAAATATTTTTCTTGCTTTCATTTATGTTTTACATCACAAAGTTAGCATTTCGCTATAAGATAGACAAATAAATTTCCACCTTAGCCTTATTTGCTTTCTAAAATTTAGTATTTTGAAATAAATATTGTAAATTGTATGATAAACTTGAAAACAACGAGGGATCTACTTCAAAGTAGCTTTTCTAGTTGTTATATGGAGGAATTCTTTCTTTTGCCTTTTCCTAAACTCGTCTCGATGCTTTATAGACGATGAGTCGTTATTGAAGAGTATATGTGGTAAATCTATTAATAATTCACTGATGGAGTTGGCCTTTGCTTTTGATCCGACAGTGATCACTGATCCTTACCTTCTTATTTTCATGTCTAGTTAAAATTTTTTCCTCCCTAACTGTTAATTACCTATCGTTTTCTCTTAAATATATGATTTATTTAGTTAAATACTAGTACTACTCAACTACTGCCCACTTAGAAATATCTGATTTAATCGATTCGACGAACCAGTGGATCTCCATTGACGGTACGAAATTTTTTAAGACCTCTAGATGCAGACAACTTGGTTGAGGCTGAAGACCCTGGGTGACATGAGACAGAATCGATTACAGTAGTGTAGGTGTATACACTCTTTGTCTTCCCCTAAACTGTGAGATTGAAATAACTTTATACCTTTCTTTCTACGGACTAATTCTTTCTCCTTGTATTATACCCTTGTATGAAATGTTTTTTTACTACCATTGTAGTAACTGCTTCTATGAATTTGGTGTTCATCTTGTTGTGTTAATGAGCTGTGGCAACTTGGACCGGTGCATATATGTGCCTGGTCCTATATTGTAGCTGACTAACTTCCCTAATAAGTGTAAGTATCCTCTGTACACCGTTGACCGTCTAATCCCTTTACATACTGACTATAAGGATATTAGTTAATCGATATTTTAGATAACCTTATGAAAAATAAAGGATCAGCAGATCTCAAAAGGTGAGTTTTCACGGATGTTTATGAAACTCGTAGCGAAATCGGTGGATGGTTCGAGTGGAACCTAACTACACAGTTATTTTTGTCACATCTCTAGTGACAACAGTATCATATATGCAATTTTTGTTACTGAAATGCAAAGAAATTCAACAAATTCACAGATTCATTTGTGTTTGTTGGAAAGACGTAAAACATCTTTATCAGAAATTATCTTCGGTGACAACTTTTTTTTCGAATAAATATACACTGTGGCTACATTTCAACGACACTGCACTAGCACACGGTTCACACCCATAAAAACTTTTCATACGAAGTATTTGAATAAAAGCCATCAATTACCTCATTTTATGTTGCACATATGGCTTGGTAATCAAATGTCACTTCAAAATTCGATTCTTTTTTTCATTTTTATATGGAAAACTAAAAATGTTTTTAAAAGTCTTCTTAAAGTATGAATTGACATCAATCAGATAAGCTCTTCATTCAGTCACCCTCGGCAACTTATAAATCAAACGACTATTCAGTGTGACTGTACAGATAATAATGAGTGTTGGAAAGTGTTCGTATAGAAATCAGGAAATCTGACTAGTGACTTCGAAAAATATACCCGGGAAAAACACCTCAGTTACATATCAAGATTAAAGAATTAGTAAAGCATTTAAGACTCATAGATAAATAGTACTACTGTCATTTACAGCATACTGTAATATCCAAAATCGTAGTTGTTAGGTACAATAAATGATTTCATGTGTTTTATGCTTGTTGAATTCAGGCTTCTGATCTCTATCGTACTACTGCTCAGGTTGAGTCAAATCCAGGAAACATCACGCCTACTTTCTTTTTTGGATTATTCGTGTGCCAACCAAGTCGTTACCATTTGCATTTCTAAATCATAACTATGGCTAAAAGTCCCATAATATTCTGGTGTTTCCCGAAGTAAGGGCACAATTGTTTCCCTAGGTGGAGTTGTATTCTTGGACCAGTTGGAAAACGTTTTTGAAAGTTACTTTTACATACTTCTCAGGTATATTTGGTGCAGATATACAACTAGTCATCATTCACTTTTATTAACTGGTGTAAAATATGGTTGTGTATTTACATAACTCTTTTCCATCTTTACCTTACATGACCTGATGAACATACCTCATATTCAGGAACTCAACTGGTCTGATGTGTAACATCGAACTATTGATATAGTTATCACTCAATTCGCGAGAGTTCTCGTCAGCAGTTTGTGAACGGAACCTTTTATAAGTAACGTTACAAAAGCAATTTCAATTGTCGCGAACATGGCAGAAGAGGAAGAAATTAATAGACCGACGACTTAGTGAATATAAATTAATACATATACGTATGACGTCCAGTGTTTATTAAAAACAGTGTGAGAGCAATGATCTATGCTTGAAAATATGCAGATATGAAATGGAAAGTAGAAACGTGTATTTATGGTTGCTACATTAGTCTCAACTAAGTATTTTCTCACCTTGTCTGTTTGAATGTGATTATCTAGAAGTCAAAACACCTAACTCTCAACCAATGAGTTGTAGGTTCGGACTTCTCTGCACCTAAATCAGTTTTCATAGCCAAATCATCACTAAGTCGTTCACTAAGATCTAAGTATACATACGTAGTTGGATTAAAATTTATTCAGTGTTTCAGTTTACAGTGCCTTATTCGGTTTTTCTCTTGCCATCTTAACCTGAAAAGTGTTAAAGATAATTATTTTCTGGAAAACTATGTTTACCTGCTTTCCAAATGAATGGTAATATCTTCCCCTGACAAAATTACTCGTCAAGTAGACACGGTCACTACAACTGTTAACGCTATCATAAAGTTTATCTTATCTGTTAAAGACTTAATACCAAGAAAATCTTATGCCACATTTCCTATTATTTGGTGTTTTGTATGCTAACGTTAATCAGCATTTCTTATTGCTATGATTTTATTATTGTTTAGAATGTTATCACACTTTGTTTATTAGTTTTAAACCAAGATAACAACCCACCATCTGTCCTGCCATATTAAAAAATTGTATACTTGTCGAACTGCAGTAATCCTAAAGAAATTAACCATTTAACAACATGAAGGTCAGATTCATCTGCGAAAGCAAAAAGAATTAAGAATTGTATTACCATCAACTAAAAAAACATTGTTCTGGAAACACCAGGCTTGAAACAATTCAAATCTTCACAGTATTCTTACTGGATTAGGAGAAAATAATTCATCACTTAATTCTTGTCCATAACTTCCACGCCACATCCCTTCTTGCCATTTTACTTTTTTTTAGAAAATTTCCGCCTATTCCTGTCATAAATTATCAGCATCATTTCGAGAAATGTCGATATTCTTCACCTACATTTATCAGTAATTAATTCCTCCTGCTCTCGTACAATTGAATGAGGTGTTAATGAAGAAAATGCATAATAGACCACTATGAAGTGTTTTCGACACTTTAAAAGCAAACACCACTCATATTTTTCTGTCTTATTAATTAAAACATTTGGTGTCACTTTCCGTGTTATAGGTTTTGCTGGCACTCCTGGTTATCTTTCTCCAGAGGTTTTGCGTAAAGAACCATATGGTAAAGCGGTAGACGTCTGGGCTTGCGGTAAGCTATTATGGTTTTCCATATATTTTCTTTTTTCTGGTATTTATGACTTGCTATTTGAAGTATTCACTACACAGTAATCTCATCACAAAATATACACCCTCCAGTTTCTCTTTTCAACGTGTAATAGAAATTTCATGTTTTCCCAGAAATGTTTGGAAATGTTAACAATTTTTTTATTTTTATGTTTCGTTGTTGTCTCCTGAACAGTTTTAAATCGTATATCAGTTGTGGAATATTCTAAACTGCTGTTTGATTAGTAGTATCTTCTGTAACTTAAAATCCTGGAGCCGAATTATTTCCTGTAGTCAGATATATGTGTACGAAGTAATTATTCACAGTTATCTTATGTATTCTTGTAAACGTATTTGTTTATCTATTTTCTGATTTATATCTCGTATCAAGACGCGTAACCTGTTTTTACAATTATTTAAGGAATAGCTTGCACTTAGCGTTGTTCTGGCACAACATTTCTGACTTTCTGTCCTAGCTTATATCGCTTATCATTAACATACCGGATCTCACCCGAACATTCAAAAGTTTTAGGGATAGTGATAAATAAGCTTAAGGTGTAAACAACTGAATTCTTGTAAATTCTTAGTCAGTCTTTCGGTTAGTAAGCATCTTCGTATTGTTTTTGTATGAAAATAGCTCTGCCAGTCCATAAAACAACCGTAGTATATAGTGTTACTTAGAAAAATCCAGTTACCTCATATTTCCTTTCTATTGAGTCATCAGTCTTATTTCGATTCTCAGTTTCTAGTGAAATGCTAATATTTCATTGACGATTAATGTAACACTCGCAATTAAAATCACTTACCCACAAATTATGATTATAAAATCATTTTCATTCAAATTGTTTACGCTAAAAATTTTGTCGAACCAAGTATGTATTTTTATTATTCCTGCCGAGTCAGTTTTATGTTTTAACAAACAAATCACTGAATATATATGATCCCAATTTACCTTGTTTCTGTTAATTGAAAAAAGGATTATCAAGCACCTCTGCTCACTTAAAAAGTACTCTCTTAAATTCGTAATGTTTTCAATCTCCAGGTGTTATTCTTTACATCCTTCTTGTTGGATATCCACCATTCTGGGATGAAGATCAGAATCGATTGTACAGTCAAATCAAATCGGGAGCATATGATGTACGTAAATAAAAATGTATTACTTTTTATCAATTTTATTATTTTTTTGGTTATTATCTTTGCACCATGTGACGACTAATTAGGTAAATATTACATGTAATTTAGTCTATATTGCACCTTGATTTACTATTTAAATCTTCATTAGAATTACGGTTTTTGAGTTTGAATGAGTTATGATGCTTATTTCTTGACAGATGCTTAATTAAAAAATATAGGAGAATGATTATTTGGTCTAAAAAAGTGAGAAAGGTAGCTACATTTGGCTAAAATCATGTTTGAAATGTTGGTAGAAGCCAATTGTTATTTCGTGTTAAAATAATGGGTTATATACGTATTATCAAGAGAGGTGAATAACTCATTGTACTATAACATTTTTCTGTTACTAATCACTAAATGTTATGAATATTGCCTCTAAATAGGACCTGACACAAATGTCTGTCTGTCGAAGTTCTTACACTTCACATAAAGAAAACAAGTTGGTTGGTGAAGCCTGGTAGGCCCCTCTGGCGAGAAACAGGTCACATCAAAGCACGGTACAACTACCGGGGCTAGAATAGCTGTTTTTGCAACCAGTTGGAGTTTGCCCCGTGTGGAGCGACCCCGTACATTACATGCACCAGTTTTGCCAATTTTTCGTCGTTTTTCTATCCAAGAGTAATTGTGCTGTGTTTCTTTGTGGGGTTCGTAATCGATTTAAGGGTATCGGTCGAGTGGGTGATTAGCCTGACCTCGAACACCCGGGTCACCGCTCACATTAGTTCATGAGTCATCCGTCCCACATCAACACAGCTTTCGAAATGAAAATAACAAAAAGCCCAAATAGTTACAGTAACAGTGATAGTGAAAGTTCAAACATAGAGGACATTGAAAAGGATAAATGAAATCCAATGATAAGAAGCATACGACAGTATTAAAACCGAAGATCTAGAAGAATATGATAAACTAATGTATTCGTGTCACCCCAGCTGATATCAAGACAAAATGCCTTCTTGGGAGTTCCTTCGCTATCTTTATGGATAAAAGCAATATTGTTCTTTAAACTGAGAAAAATATTGGAAGCTAGGTATTTATTTTAACGAAGAACTTGCATCTTTTTAAACGAAATGCACATCCTAGATTTCACTGCTGAACACAATCTAAGTATACTAATAATCGGTTTATGTCTAATTACGTACTATTTGTAGGGATCATTCAAAATGTTGTTAATCACCGCTTATTTATAGATATTGGTTTTTCACCATTTTTAGATGGTGTTACTTTCTATTGAAAGAAATAGTTTGAGTAATTTCCCATGGTGTATACTGGAAATACTCTACCTTACCTCACCCCATGCTGTTTACTTCCTCTTTAATTCTACAAACGACAATCCTATCTGTAAAATATAGATTCACATTAAGCACTAGTAGTTTCCTTGAAAATCTCAATATCCCATTCTGTAAGTAGATGTGGTTTTCCTGTTTTCTAATTTGTATTTCATAAAAATGTTTTGTCTATAAAATTGTTTTTTTGTCCTTCAATCTCTTTGTATTTTTTCAGTATCCTTCACCAGAATGGGATACAGTTACCCCTGAAGCTAAGAATTTAATCAACCTAATGCTAACAGTCAGTCCTGCAAGGCGAATCACAGCTGCAGAAGCCCTCAAACATCCATGGATTTGTGTACGTTATGAAAACAGATGTTTAGTAGAATTTGAATTGTTTGTTTTTGTATTTGGTTCTTGTTTAGTCTTAAAACCTTAATGTATTATAACAAGGGCAGTAAATCAGCTCATTATAATCAATAGTTTTCAATGGTACCTGCGTACTACTATCTTAGCTTGCAATCATTTAGTAAGACTCACTGCTTATTTGTATTTAATATCAATGACTATGACGTTATGTCTGATACATATAGACAACTGTTTATTTATGTAAATTCACCGTAAGGAATTTTCATACCATGAAATATTTAACAAAAATGCTAAAAACGTTAATGTTTAATTTTCATCACTCACACAAGATCCTCACGAAACTTGTTTAGGTAACTTTCTTCCTACTTATGAAAATTTCCTGAGTTCCTACATTTCAATAGCTGTTTGAGCGTAGATCCAACAGTACTAACCATTTGTATGCATGTTTCGAAAGCTAAAATCATACTATGCAAACGTTGTCCGCCAATACATCGCGCGCAGATCCAATTTCACACACTTTAATTAGTATTCCCATCAAATTGTCTTGGTACTAAGCGATTTCATTTTGGATACACTGGCTTTACGTTAACGATTTCAAACTTAGTTTCGTTGATTTTCTAGTGAATGTATGTTTCTAAAATAATATTTCTCTATGTTGAGATTCTTCTTTTTTGTTATATCTCACTAGAGGTAATCACTCCAACTGTGAACCAGTTAAATTGTGTAATTAATTCTCAGAGTAGTGAGGACCTGTTTTCTACCACAAGAGATTCTGAATCACATATGTTTGTGTTTAAGTATATTTATGCAAAAGGCTTTCCTATAAACACTTCAAATAGCCGTATTACTAGAACAAATATGCTCTGCATTTCACATTATTGCATAATATATGCATATAATTATATTATTTCTAATCGTTATATTGTGTCCGTATTGAAGTATTTCTCATGGATATCCATGTATCCTTTGTAGTCAAACAATGCTATCTGATATTAATACCTAATACTTCTTTCTTAATCGAGTAATTTGTCCCTTTCTTAGTCATAGTATTTGCGAACGACGATAAAGTAGATGAAAAGTCTTTTTCTTTCATTGATCGTTTTATTTTAAATGTATTGTCCTTTGCCGCTTGTTGTTTACCAAAGATTTCACTCTCGTTTTTATCTTTAATTAATTTCACATTCCAGACCTTAGATGTAAGCTCCAATTAACATATATTTTAAAATGTCATTACTTTTCGGCATTAAATAATGGATTACATGCTCTTACGTTAAAAAAAGGAATTTAACACGATCTCTGGTGTCACGTGATTTCGTATTATTTTAGTTTTCGTTTCAGTTTGTTTTGCTTCGCACAAATCATTACTTTGATAATAGACTTGTTTAGCTTATGGTCTTCCCATCTGTTCTCGAGGGAGGTACAGAAATGGTCACAAAACTTAACAATTTGCTCTGTCCTTTCATGATACTCCTTAACAGTTATTAACGATAGAACACAGCAGACGATTGTAAGCTTCCCTTTTGTGAAACAAGTAGATTCATTTACATAAAGGCTATGCATCAACTGTTATGATTGGAATTTGTATAATTTGTACTACACGAAAATCCACTTAAATTTACTCTGTCATCCTGAGTAGTACATTGAGGAAAAGCCACTATTCATCCTATTTATTATTTAATTTGTTTCGTGCTACTGAGTTTCTGAAAGTTGATCTCATTTAAAAACAATCCGGACCTCTTGATAATTTCTACCACTAAAATATCATTCTTAGTTTGTACTGAAAGTCAATCATTTACCACACTAATGCTGTCATTCTTCAATATAAAGTTTATCAAGTTAATGTTATTTTTATTTGTTTTAAATACTGGAAGATGGAATACAGTTTTTTGGTTCAGTGAAAGAACGTTTATTCGCTTTTTTATACCATGATATAACTGTTTCATGACTTTCCTATAATAATTTTTATGAGTAACAAAATTCTGTACTTTTGTTTGCTTCTGTGTGTTTACGAAAACTAACATGATCATTCGCTTTGACACCATGTGCGTTATAAATACTAGTGCGTTTGAAGTTTTTGGTAAATTATTTCCTCTTTTTCCTTAGATTAATTCAACAGTTTCCATTTAAATTTAAATGATCACATTTTTGTTCTTTAACTTAACTCTGATAATAATTTGGTGTTTAATCATATATTTGATCAGAATTATGCACCCAGTCCACATAGCTCCTCTTCATCACATCATTATTTGACAAGAGAAAATTCTATAATTAGTATTTGTTTTTCTAGTATATACCAAAACAACCATCATTCAACTTCATGTATGATGAATTTACGAACAAATAAAAACACTTATGTTGTTTTGATGTGGAACAGTTAAAAAGCAATAAAACTCGTGATAACATTTCGATATAATTCAATCACTTTCCTTGCATCAGATCGATAGCCCATTCACTTCAACCTGTGCTCATCATTATCAGTGTCATTGTTTCTATTATTATTATTACTATGGGTTTTGTTGTTAAATGGAAGCCATGACCTCAATATCGACTAGATTGTTTTATCCTCTGCTTATTTCTATATTATTTACATACGAGTGTTTTGATTGGGACAAAATTAAGGTAGTGTGAAGTGGATAAAGTTCAAAGCACATACCATACCTACGCACGCCAATTGCCGACTGATTACGTGCGGATTGCATGGCTTGGGCATTATTGCACAGTAAGATAATACCATCCGCATACTCAAGGTCGAGAAGTCTTTCTCCAGGCAACAGATTCACATCGTTATTACTTACATCCATCTGAGTTGTTTCCAGAATGTCATCGATAGCAAAGTTGAAGAGGAATGGTGATATTGGACAATCATGTCTAACCCTACTACTTGGATGGAACAATGGAGAGAAGTGTTTGTATATAATGCTTTTAAGATGTTAATAAACTTCTCAAGCACACACTTATTCAACAGACTATCCCAGAGAACAATCTTGTCCAACAAATCGAAGGTGGCGTTGATGTCAAGAAACATGACAATTGTTGACCTGTGATACGTATGACGGTGTTCTAACGTTTTGGCGGAGGGTGAAGATATGATCAATAAATCCTCGACCAAAACGAAAACCAGTTTGCTCCTCGCGAGTCAATCTTTCTCGGGTTTTGTATGATGGAAGCCAAAAGTTTGGACGCAATCATAGTAGACTTATTCCTCAATAGTTGTCATAGAAAAGACGAACCGTTTTTAAAGATAGAGATAATTATCGTCTCATTCCATGATGTTGAAACATTCTAAATGTCAAACGTTTGTAAACAACGTAGTCAGTTCCTTAACCAGAAGGTCGCCACCATCTTTAAAAAGGGCCGGAGATAGGTCATATGGTCCTGGCGATTTGTGGTGCTTCAGGAGTTGAAGTTCCTTAGGGACTTCCGCCTTGCTAGGTAAATTGGTCGTCACAGGTCAGGGTAGGTCAGTCTAATCGATGTTGCCCGGGGCAGCAGACCAGTTTAGCTGCTCATCGTTCAAGACGTCGATAGATGTTATTGATTGACATCCAGCCATCACAGATTGTTCCGCCCATACCAGACTTCTTGCTGCCAGTGGCTCGGAAGAGTTGGAAGAGCGTCCAGCAATTACCTGAAGCAGCTGCTGCCTACAACTCATTGGCACACTCCGACAACCAGGCTTCTCGGCCCAATTTGATTACGTAACAGTTTTCGTTTGTGGTCGAGCTCATGGTCACTCGGAGTAGACCGATGGTCTTAAATATCTATTTGTACACAAATATTGGTACAAAGGGTCACCGAATACATATGCGCCACACAAGTCACTTGATTTGTGTGTAGGCTGTGGTACTGCCCGGGTGTCCAAACCGAAGCAAGTGGTTTTCTTAGGGAGTCTTCGACCTAAAGGTCCTGATCCACAAGGCAGTGGAGCATCGTAAGGAGATACAGTCCCATGGTAGCCGGTGACCAACGATTGGTTCATACGTCATTTGTTCCCTCAGGATACTGGAGCCGATGTGCACCATTGGTTTGGAATCAGGGTTTCCCAAAGCGCTTTTCGTCCTCTCAATTCCGTAAACAACACTCACGTGATATGCAAACTAAGCGTTAACTGTTTGAAACTATTAAGTCACGCGTTGTGTTTTTCAATTAAATATACATAGAAATTTAACATACTCCACTATCGATATAGTGGAAAACCACCTGTTTCGGCCTGGGCACCAGGGCAGTACCACAGCATACACACAAATAAGGTGAATTGTGTGGCGCACATGTATTCGGTGACCCATTTTACCAATATTTATGTGTTCAAATAAATAAATGGCTAATTAATTGCTTATCTCGTAGTGAATTTGAATCATCGAAACTTTCGTATTTTCAGACAAAATATATTCTAAAGCGCGATAATCCGAGAAAATTCAGATTTCCTAATGTTGTTTACTTGCGCTAAAAAAACATTTAGATCACATCTATGACTCGTTCGTGTGTGGTAGTAAATTCCTGTTCAAGTCCATTGAGTGGCTTGGTAAATTGTGGAGAAATTAAACCTAACACATCAAGGCTTAAGTATCCTCAATGAGATTCGTACTAGCTAATAAATTGTACTGATAAATAATTACAAATCAATTGTTTTGTACATGTGAATCGTATTAGATTCGATTATCATTGTTGCACCCTTTCATGTAATCCAATCAGCTCATAATTATATTGTCTTTCCAAAATAATAGTATATATATATATCAGCTCACAAATGTAACCCTATTTCTCAACATTCTTATTTATCGTACTTATACTTGACTTTTTATAATATCCTGACAATCCTTACTAGGATATCTTCGCTTGCGTAGCATTACCTCCAAGCCACAAACATCAAACCTTATAAATAAATTCATTCATATGAACGTGTCATACATGTTATACCTTTCTATCAGCGGTTTTAAAAGTGCTTACAAACCAACTGGAGAATGGTTTTATGCTGTATTTTGTCTAAGGCGCTAAACTATTAATGATTAGCTTTTCTTAATATTAATGTTAGAATTCATTTATTTACTTTGTAGTACATCACATGATTGTCACATTTTAAGCGTAAATCTTCTCTACTCTGGTTACGTCTATATTTATACATTGTTTTCTTATCTTTTACGCGCGCGTGCACGCCTTAACAGGAATTTTTGGAAACAATACGATTTCACACTAATATAAACTCTTAATTTACAACATGTTAATAATGTTCCGTTGAACTAACACACACAACCCAAGAAGGTTGTGTTGTTTTTCCTAACTCATCACCTATTAACCACAGAATATGTTACCTTTGGTGTATTCAAAAATTTGACTATCCTACATATATATTGTTGTGTTTTAATAATTGAATTCTTAGATTATCACCACTTTTGTTTGTTTCTTCTCTTTTGATGGTACTCTATCATAGAATGCTTAAATATACATTTATATATATATATATAAAGCTTGGGCCATTGACTCGTCATTTTTAAGGCATTCAAATCTATGAAGAATGTATTTCAGAATGGTCTGGGTAATTGGTTTCTTTAGGTGAGTACATCAAGTACGCGAAGACAAAGATTCACGATGTAGTTTTCTCAATTTTTATGACGAATAAATCGACCAAGTTAAGGTATAGTAATACTCTAACTTGATGCCCAAATTGAGCTTCTTTTGGTCTGCCTTATTTGTTAGTAACTTTGCTAAATTAAAATGGAACCCAATCTTTTGTAATGAGTAAAGTATATATAACTGGATTCCTACCATATCTTAAAACCCATCTTCACGAATTATTCTGGAATTGCTGGTCCGATTATCTAAAAGTTTGCCACTTATCTCCGAATGTACTGAATAACAATTCGCCACTGATGACAATAATAAGTAGATCATTTTTAATTAACCCATTAACCCCACTAATGATTTGTATAGTACTACTTCATATTGCTTTTACGTCCCGTCTCTGTCAACCAACTTATCGAATTCTAATTTCTTTCCTTGATAGCAACGAGAACGTGTCGCTTCCCTTGTGCATCGTCAGGAGACGGTGGAGTGCTTAAAGAAATTCAATGCACGACGTAAATTGAAGGTATGTTTTTTTCTATAAATCTAATTGCATAGTACTCTACTTAAACTGTGAATATGCTTGCCTCATAAGTTCTTGTTCATGTCTGTACAGAGTTATAACCTCCGAGATATTTCTACTGCAATTTTTCTATCCAGTTTAAAGTTGTTTTTGGATTTCCGTGCATGTGATAACCATCTAATAAGTATAACCGAAGAGTTGCTGCTTCATTTCGACCAAGTGTTTATTTGTTTAAGCTTGGTGCACTGGGGGCATAAATGTAGTTCAACTGGTTGTATCAACGGAATCGTGATAAACCTACATACACCAACCGGACACAACTATCTGTCATTTCTCTGGATAGTGTTCATTGAGCATAAGCGTCACGCATACACTACTCAATATGCACTTCACTGGAAGTTTACACATTTATAGTTCCCGAACCGTTGACATCTGTGTTTTTTGGGGTGAATTCACTGGGTAACAATTTCCATCAAATAATAATAACAATATATTCTAAAAATAATAATTACAGAATTCATGCCAGTTTACAGGCATGATCAGTTTGATATAGATAGTACTATTAAATGTAGAAGATATATGGAATATTAGATTGTTTTATGTTTTCTAGTTCAAAAATTGTTTAGATAGTACATATTTCACATGTATTTCAGCAATGAAAGTCTTCAGCCGGTAGCATTTAGTTCTTTTTAAGTAGACCTGTTGATGTATGGACGGTGTATTTAAAATCATTTCCCGCCCTATAACGAATTGATTGTAATCATCTACAACTAGAAAATAAAACACAAGCAGAGAGCACGGAACAACAAATGTAATGTTTACTACGATAGGTCAGTCAGTCAGATTTGAATGTAAAGTAACATCGATTTGTAATAACGACTAAACATTTAAGTATCCTATAATCTCACTTGCGGTATGGGATATACTTACAGATGTAAACAAGTTTCAAGCATTTCCAGAGGAAAAGTAGGCATCGATGCAGTGGACAATGAATGGGATTGACCTTTTTTTAAGGGTAGATTGTGGTAAAATTTTCCAGAGTAAAAAATTTCCTAATAAAGTAATTCATATGGAGAGAAGATTTAGAATGAGATGGTTTCACTAATTACACAGAGTCACAGATGCTGTAATCAGAAGATTCTGCATATTAAAATGCTTCATTAGATTTAAATGATAGTTTATTAAATATTTTAAAGATAAAAGTGAGTTTTGAATTAAGTCTCCTTTTCCACTAATGGTCGAGTCCAAATTTATTACATCTGGACTTATAAATAAAAGTACAACAATCCCAAGAATGCGATATACAAATCACCTCTGAACGGATTCCAACCTTAATTTATCCTTTATGTGAACAATACTAATAATAACAAAAGTGCAGTATTCTGGGATTAGTCGAACACGTATTTGCACATTAAAATAAGTGACTCGTTATGAAGATTACAAATTATGCAACGCAGAAGACGTCGGGACTTGGAGGTCTGTTTCGAGACCTGTTCTGAGAAGGACAAATTGTATGAATACCTGAGTCCTAGATCCACTACTCCATGTAACATGTATAACACCTTACTTTTTATGGTAATGTCGAGGTTTAGTGAAGTATTGCCAAAGTATATACATCCAAATTTGGTCTTGTTAAGCTCCAAATGCCATTTTGAGTATCACTGGACCAATTTGCTGAGCTCCATACTGATGCAACTTGGAATATTGCTCGGCTCATGAGGATAAAATGAATACATCACTTTAAGGTCACCTTATTATGGAAGAGGCTTGCCCATACAGAAGCAGTCGCGAATATCATTTACGTAAACTAGTTAGTTATTTTTGCAACTGTCATAAAGTCGTTTGATTCGAAGTAACGTTTCTCTAGGTGTCTTAATTTACCACGATATTTAAGTGACATAAATAATTGGTTGGGCTTACTAAACCTGTACATTTGAAGGGCCGCGTAGGAATCTAAGCAAGAGTTGGTGATCAGATAGAATGTGTCAAATCAAATGTTACGTTGCCTCAAGAATGCTTATTGCCTAACAAGAAAATATTTTCCTGTCATATTTCGAATAACAACGCTCGTTGAAGATTCCCATCATAAAAGCTTTGTGCAACTATACTCCGTGTTGTGTGGAGTGACCAGCATATATAAATGTACTGATTAGTTGCATATAACTATTAATTTGGTATTTATTAGACTCTTAATCAGGTATTCTTGTTATAACTGTCACAAATCCATTTACTGAACTGAGTTTAATACTACTACTTTTTAACTATACTGCGATTCTCTTAAGCATTCGATGGCTCAAATTTATTTTACTTTATTCAATAATAACTGAATTCATAGATTATCACCACCTTTGTTTGTTTCTTCTCTTTTGATGGCACCCTATCATAGAATGCTTAAAGATACATTATATAAAGTAATAGTATTTATAGTCGAAACAAAACCTTACACTTTATATTGAGTGTGTGCAGTTTCATGTTATCAAATTTTATACTGACTGATTACTTTTATTACCGAAATCTTGAATAAAAAAATGAAATGTAATTGTATTTGTTCAGTCAGTGTTTTGCTTGTTTGTCATGTTCAATCTTCAGACCAAGATATTCTTAACTAGTTTTTAATTGACTAGATGTAATATTACATAGAGTCATCTGACCTCAATTATAAGGCTAGTGTTCGACCACCATAATCATTTACTGAGCTTATTGCATGTACTTGATGAATAACTATCTATATTTATTATATCTCATCATCTTGAATAATTCTTTTGTTCTCTATTTACTTAACCCATCTGTATTTGAAGTGTAGTAATAGCTTTTTCATCTAAACTTTCTCCTTAATAAGTAGTTACAACGCGTTTTATTCCTCACTGTCTACGTTAGATCGAACTCAATGCTAAAACTTATTAATCGTTTTTCAGAGTGTTGATAATTGGCACATTTATGTGTGTGCATGCTTTAAACAAATATGGTTATCTACCCATTTAACAGTTTCCTGCTTTCTGTTTTTTTTTCGTTTTTAGGGTGCTATACTTACGACTATGCTAGCCACACGCAATTTTTCTAGTAAGTTCACTTTTCGAATACTGATAACTAAATGTTGGTCTCATAATATATTTTTGACCTCTTCGAATCCATTTCATGTCTCTATGCATTCATTATTAAAGTATACTTGTATTGTTGGGTGTTTGAATTCATTAAAATGTTATTTGCATGTAGTTTTATTTACCACAATCAGATTTATTAATATCACGTCTCATTTGATTTGTTTTCTATTGTGTTTTTGCATGTTTTGCCTCTGTTTTTTATATGAATATATAGTGAAAAAGGATGACAGTTGTAAGTTGTTTTTTTTTCAATATCAACGCATTTGTTTTCATATGCACTTTTGTTAATTTTGATTGCATGGCTGTTTACGTAAGCGCTTTCATAGTGTACATACAAAACCGTGAACTATATATATATATATATATATATATATATATATATATATATATATATATATATATATATATATATATATTATTGGATAACTCCTTCAGAAATATTTGTAAAATAAATACGCTAACTGTTTTTCACGATCAAGTCTCGCTAGGTTAAACGTTCAGTGTTGTTAATTATATTTTCCATTTAAATGTAGTTTGTCGATAATGGTTTTCTAAAAACGGGAAAGCTGAGTCTTTTTTTCGCTTCACAACTAACTGGATTCTAAATTATTTACCATTGTTTCGTATAAAAATTCCTGTCATTCGTACGGTGTACAGTTATCTATAAGTATCTTTGTAACTTACCCATCACTAGCTAGTACTTAACAGTTATCATTGTGTATCATGTATGCCGTTTTGCGTAGTTTCTGTTTTCTATTTGTTTAATCACATCCAAAAATAAACTTTGTCACGTCTAGTTTCCATGTTGTAATATTTAGTTTTCTTCCAATTGTATTATTAGGTATTTTTCGTAGAATTTTACTTTGTATTTTGTTGATTTATACTCTTTATAGCTGGTCGGGGTACCGTTCCAGGAAGTCATACTTCTGTAACTAAGAAATCTAATGATGGTATTAAAGAATCATCTGACAGTTCTACTGCAGTAATGGAGGACTCAGCTGATATAAAAAGTTAGTTCTATTAGATATGTATAACTTCTGAAATCTCCATTTTAATGTATATTAATTCCATTATTGTCAGTGATTGTAGTTGTCAATTTGAACGCAAACAAAGATTTGCAGAATAAAATAAATTAATTCTATTTCAAGGTTTGTCATTAGTTGCAGGCAGCTTAAATTAAAAAAGAATAATCTGATTAAGAACAATGAGTTGATGAATTCTGACCAGTGAATTTAGCATGGATTCTCCAAACAGGACAAATAATCATAGTATTAAGAAGAAACAGAGTATAGCATTAAACATACTTGCAATTGACTCATATGCTCAAAAAATAATAGCGATGCAAAGTTGGCAAAATGTGACTGTAGTTACTAATAGTTTTATTAAAAATTGATTATGTAACCCAAATAATATTGATCAGTGATTACAAAGTTCAGGATAGGCCAACGTTATACTTAATCTATCGGTTTGTCTGTATGATTGATTGTTGAATTGGAATTGAACAAACAAAACTGATTAGTTTTCGCTATTACGAAGTTTTATTTCTTTGCTTCCAATTTGATTTCTTTTATTTTAAGAATTATTGGCATGTAGTACCATTGTCAAAGCAGAGTGCTCTGTTGAAAGTGAGTAAACATAAGCTAGGTGGTGTTAGGTTACTTAACTTTTTTTCTTATCAATGAAAGATGAGGAACAAGTTGATGCACGTTAAATCTTCTGTTTCACACGTATTGTCTTTCGCTTGTAGTTGTTTATAAATCCCTAGTTTGTAACTGTTCATTTGACGTGCTTAATTTTGTTTTCAACAAAATATACTTTTCATTACAGAAGTTAACATAATAACGGAACAAACATTCGTGCATCATTGTATGCTGTTTATATTGTTCTGTAAACTTTACTGCATGTGCTGTTTGTCTTATCTCCCATGATACAATAGAGGTTATGAATACTTAACAGTTATTGTTGCTCAGTAAATGTTTCAGTGTGGAATGATTATTTTCCACAATATTTTTACCTGACTGCTCTCTCCTCCATAATATCTTTCTTAAGAAGTGTAGATCATTTTTACGTCTGTTGTACTATAATATGGTAAAATGGGATTGAATAATGAGTTAGTGAACTGTTGTTATTTAACGATCATTCAAGTTCAACAAATGTAATTAGGGTTAATTCAATCATGAATAATGGGTTTTAACATACAACGTCATCTGTTGTTTAATTATTACTAGTATGATCTGTTTTGTTAATTACATCTTACCTATTATCTATTTATCTAATGATTTTTATCTATTATGATAGTTTTAATAACCTGACCACGAATAATAATGAGGTTCCAATATGTTTTTTTAATGGTTCATTAAGTATTATATTTAATTTAAACATTGTTTTCCTAATTAAGCAATATGCTCTATTAAACAAATTAAGTATTTTCATCCAGGCGTTAAAGGTATTTACAAAGTATCTGTTTTCATTGACTAATTTAATCGAAAACGTAGTATTATCACGAAATCGGTTTTACGCATTCTAATCCCTGTCAGTTTAAGCTAACACAATGTCCTGTGTTATCGACAACACTTGGGGCTTGCAGTAATCGTGATCACATATGCTCACCGAAATTCAGATATCATAATTTTAGGAGAATACGTCAGTTTTCATCAAACTTTAGATAAAGAATTGCTGTTTACCTATCTAACCTAACGTAAAATAAACCGATAAAAATATGTCATTTCTCACATGTGAATTGTAATTTGTTAATTATTGCCTACTTAGAAATAAATTTCGCTATTAATTTTTAGTTTTTTTGCCCTATCTCTAGTATATTGTCACATTATTTTAAGATTCCTTTTCAATTAGTTTTGAATATAAAACAAGCTTTTTGTAAATTTTGAATGTATTCCCAGTGTTACAATGTTTTACATGATATTTCCAATGTATATCAAACTTCTGTGCATGACCACCGAAAATATTACAGTGGTTAGATTTGCATGCATATACTCGATCTTTTGATAAATTAGCATATGAAGTTATCGTCAACATAATTTTATCTGTCCACTAACAATCTACCCAATTAATGTCGTGCATGATGTGAATAAAGCTAAAAACACACGATTAATTAAAATAATTATTTGCAATGAGTAATTGACTATTCATTCTCGTTTAAATGAAAGACTTAATTCAAAGAATCATTTTTTCCCTTGTTTTATTTCCTAATAAAGCTAATAATTAATGAGGCCAGATACAGTATTTTTGTGAAGTCATTTCTAATTTTTTCTATAAAACTTTTAAGCATTCACAACATAACTAGAATGTATCAGTACCTTATTCTAAAAGTGTTCACATTTAGACGTATAAAATGCATCCTCATGTACATGCTTAATTATCAAGTGTTTTTCCCACTTCCTGTATTTCGTTTAAAGGCTAATAGACCCATCATGAACCTCTCGCTATTGATTACGACAATATTGTTAGTCCAACTACGTACTTTATGGAAACATAACATGTATAAGTAAAATGTCTGCAAAGTACTTACTAATCAAAAACCTTAGAAATAATTTTTTTTAATGCTATACAGCTCTTGATTGTTTGAACATTGAACAAGTATTGACTTGAAATAAAATTATGTCGTTACCTTACACCATCTAATTTATCACCATAATGGAAAGTTCTTCACAAAAACTAATATCCGAATTCTGTCAGTGTACATCCGTAACAAAGTGACCAAACATCTTACGATCATCAATCACTTTTTTTAATTGTGAGCTGTAATTAACGTCAGTTTCTCCTTTTCATTTAACATCGATCTCACTTGTTAAGGCGTTCGACTTTTATCCCCTATGCTTCAGGTTTGAACTCTGCTCTGTGTACTTCTGTTTAGCCAAATGGGTAGTATCACTGGCTCAAAGTTGGGCGTATACTGAAACTTTCATCCAGTTCAACAACACTGTTGGAAAATCTTCCTGATACCGATATTAGTTTGGTGCCCCTGTATTTTTCACACTTGCTCGGATCTCCTTTCTTTGGTTTATTGATGAAGTATTCTTCTTTCCTGTCCGTCGTCACTTGTTCCTTCTTCAAAATCTTCCTTAATAGAACGTGGAGCATCTTTGAAGTTTCTTCTACGTCTGATTTCAGTGCTTCAGCCGACATACTGTCAGGTCCTACTGCTTTCCCACTCTTGATTTTTTTTAGGGCTGTTGGTGGAGTGATACCTTTAGGAAGGTCTGTATGTACTGCTTCGACGTCCGGTGTGGTCAGTGTACTGAACTATTTATTAGTTCTTCAAGGTGCTTTAGCTACCTGTTTTTCTGTACTTCAATCTCACTTACTGCCTTGCCTTCTTTGTCTTTGACTGGTCTTATAATGTTGCTTAGTATTTCCTTTTCTTGTAGCTTTTTACTCTTTCATTGCTAGTCCATGAGACGACATGGACTGGGACAGATACGAAGACCATTTAAATGGCTTTGTACTGCACCTAAGTTGGCTTCGGGATCATTCTCTGTCGAAGCCTCACTACTCAAAGATTTACGACTCTAATATGCTCGCCAATACATAACCTTAGTTCTAATTCCTTTTCAGCTTCTCTTTTTATTTAGTCTTTAAGCGCCAAGCATTTACGGGAAAGAATCTGCCGATCCCTTCAGTTCATGTCCATTCTGTAATATTAAGTATTTTTCATTGGAAGATTTAAATACCACTTTTAGGAGACTAGTTTGGTTTTCCTTCAAGTCCGTTCAGCTACCTAATCTACAAATATTCAGCAAGGTGACTCCAGAGATATCTTTAGATATTACCTGGTTGAGTAGATCTTTATCAATATCAATGTCATGCTCAACGCGAGTTCTGGGTTCTGAGAATTTCCTCTCTTTAACTTATGGAAGAAAAGTGATCTGTCACTATGGTAACTCCAATTTCTCAAATACTGAC